TGCTTCTAGTCTTTGATATTTTACCAATAACTTCACCTACTTTGTCAAAGCAGCAATATGTGTATTGGTAGATGTCGTGCTGTCTAGCTCATAAATTCAAGCTATTTTCTTCAGAGAATTACTCTTTCTGATGAAAACATGGAATGGATAGTTACAATCCATTCAAATGAGCCTAAACATCGCTTTACCGATTTACTAATTATGGACTTGTTTGCTGATGAATCCAAATGAGATTTGGTCGTTGCTGATAGTCCGATGTAGAAATACTCTACTTGATTATCTTTACTTATCCTATGATTTTTGACACTTCCTCATCATCTCCTTAAATCTATTCCAAGCTTCATGCAACTTTCTCTATCACGTTATTGGAATGTTTGGATTTTTAGTCGACTTTTTGCTACTTTTACAGGTGAGAAGAATTTATTGTAGAATTTTCTAGCCAAGTCCTCCCTATTCATGATCCTGCCATGAGTCTTAGAATCCAACCACTCCAAAGCTACATCTCTTAATGTATATGAAAATAACGACATCTTGATTGCATCCTCATTTATCTCTATAATTGAAAGTTCTGGCAGTTCAGGAGAAATCGTGGAATATGTGTGTTCGGATATTCATAAGGTAACCCTTTGAATTGGATGGTGATGAAGGTTAAGTCGATCCAATCAGCCCTTATCTAAAAGTTATTTTACCTAAAATCTGGTTATACAATACTGGAGCGTCGAGGATCTGCTATAGGAGCCAAGAACATTGACATTGGCAAGTCTTCTTCATCAATCTCAACTTGATCCCACAGAATTTGTGGTTTCGCTATCCTAGCGACTCCTTGTGCAATTGAAAGTCTAGGAATATTTTTCTCTTCTACCATTTGATGTTTCTATTTTTGTTTGTGTTTCTTGAGTCTTTGTCTAAAGAAATATTTTATTTTTGTATGTCAATGTTCAAGATTGTTGCCATGGGAACAGAAAATGCAATGAACACTTTTTTATCTGCAAGAAAAAGTAATTTAAACAAATCAAATAAAAGTCAAAACAAAATAAACTAAGATTAAATGTAGTCCTCGATAACGGCGTCAAAACTTGTTACATTTTTTTTATCGTAAGTGTATGATATTGAATGAGTAATATAATGGATCTTTGAGTTTGCATAATTGTACCCAAAGAGGCTATTATTTGTTCCTAGTTTATTATTCCAACTTCTATTTGACGAAAAGTAAAGTTTAGCTTGATTATTGATCTAAATTGTACTAAGCCCCCATTCGGTATGGATTAAAATTCAAATTTTATTCTAAGTTAAAGTCAATAATTAATTTAACTACATATTTCATGAATTCTACAACTTTTCAATGATGCATTTCATAACTTTTATCAAAATTTACTAAAATTCTAATTTTAATCTTTATCAAATAGGGGCTAACTAACTTTATGTATGGTATTGTCCACAAAAATCAAATTAGGTTTTGAATATGAAGGAGATATCAAAGCGCACAATTTTATTTATCGATCACCTTTAATTTTCAAATCAAGATTCTTAACTAAATGTCATCGTTGGTCGATTCTTCTAACTTATTCAATTTATGTTTCTCAAGTTCAAATATATTTTATTAATTAAGTCAATTTTATATCTCTATGTAAATCTGAATACATTTTAGTTAAACGCCTTAAATCTCTAAGAATTTATGTAACGTCTACATTAATTGGAAAATGTATCTCTACGCTTTACACTAGGTCTTGAATTTTATTACGTGATCTAAACCTATAAGTCACCTATCGATTTGTGATAAATTCACAAGATTGTTAAATTATTGTCCAAGTAATTCAAGCATTAAATGCTATAAGTAAAATCGTCACATGAAAACTATAACCTCTATTTGGCCCCATTTCTTTCAATTTTTAATGTATGGAACAATATTTTTTTGGAGAATGTAAGGTTGAAAAAGAAGGAAAAATTTTAAATTTACGTGTAATATTATTTTATAAAAGATTATGTTGTTGAAAATAAGAGCGAGAAGAAAAAATTGAAAGAAAAAAGGGGCCAAACGGGGCATAATCTTGAAAATTGAATTATAGGATTCCAATAAACTACATTATCCGTTCTAAAAAAAAGTTTAGCTCTACATATCGAATGAAGGAAAAAAAAAAAGAATTATTATTGAATACATCATAGGGTTTTGAATGAAGATTAGAAAAGTTGATGAATTTTGCACCAAGATCATCTTCTTGTCCAGATCAATGCTTCAAACGCTGGTCTTGATATCTTGATTTCTTGCTTTTTTCCAATGTGTCTCTCTAATTCTCAAGTTGTGAGACCCTTTTCTCCTTTAGATTAGATCTTTATGTAGTATTACACCTTATAAGAGTTTCCATGAAAGATAAACTCGAAAAAGAATAAAAGAAAATCAAAAATAGAAAAAATTGCAAAAATTGTCGAAACGGAGTTTGCCACTGGTAGACCCGTAGTCCACTCGTGGCATACAAACAATTTTAGTGGCCGCGGGTAGGCTGTGGGTTTGCAACCTGTGGTCCACCCTAGGCCAATTTTCTATTTTTGTAGTTTGGTCATCCAACTTTTTAAATCTTCTATTTTGGTTCTCAAACTTTCCAATTATCAATTTTTCATCTTTAATCTCACAAATCTCATCCAATTAATCCAAACTTCATCCAATTGATTGGTTTCAACCCCGATTAGTGATCTTCAAGTGTCCGAATTGATCTCAAATTAAGCTCAAAATCATCACTTTTTTGCACCAATTGTGCTCAACCTCAATCTTTGCCTACAAATCACATAATTTCATATAATTAGGTAGAAATCCGCTCAAATAATTCATAATTTATCAATACTAAAAGCACAAACAAGTGTGTAAAATAGAATTATCACTAAGCTAGACATGGTGATTCTTTTTATGCTAAACTTAAATAAATTATGCCTAAATCTAAATGCAAACCTATCAAACGACATGCAATGTAAATACTTAAGGTAGAATAAATAAAAATGGTAAGAACTTGAGTTGCATCCCAAAAGCACTAGTTGACTTTACAAATGGATTGATCATGGTGGTTCATAATGAAATTCACTAATATTACATTGGACACAATGTTCGGCATTGCCAATCCCCTTCTCGATTCTCAAAACTTGCAAACCACCTTTTTTATCTTAAGATTTCCAAGAATTTTACCTATTCCTTTCTTGTGGCACTTTTTATGAGCCTTCATGTTTTATTTTTCAACTTTTTGGCTTTCTTCAATATTTCTCATCATCAATCCTCAAGATTAACCCACTAACATCAAAGTCCGTCATAGACTGACTCATTGATAGGAAATGATCGCCCAGAATACCCACTTCTATGAGCATGTTCTCAACCACACCTTGAGTGAGCTTGATTGATGAATTCACCATTTCAAGAGAGATTATTATGTCTTTAAGTTATTGCAAACCTAATAAAATAGATTGTTTTTCTCTGGTAAGTGTTCACTGGGTGTTCTTACTTTATTTTGTGACATTTTATGAATTAATATAGTAGTTAATGATGAGATTTAAAAAATAATAATAACCAGGGAATGTAATTCAAATAATTGCATAGTTCGAGTCTAATAAAAAATTGAGGATTTACTTCTTTTTTATTCCGTATACAAGTCTCCTAATGACGTTGTACCCATTGCTAGTTTTTGGTTAAAGTGATGTGTATTGTTACTTAAAAAAAAAATATTTTTAAATCTATCTACCTTTTTAAAATTATATATAGTTTTGACAAGAAAACAATTTAAAAATAAAAACTAATTAATTGTATTAATTAAATTCAATTTATTTCAATAAAGTTATCATCATCATCAAGAAAGACACAATTGCAAGCGCTAAAATTTTTCGAACCTTTTTCCCTCTTGTAATTTGTGGATATAAGTGGTATAAGGAGGCTAATTTAGCGCTCGACAATCATACCCAGAATTAAAAAATTAAATAGAATAAGATTGAAAATTTAAGGGGGTGGCCCAAAGCTAGTTTGATAAATGCAGAGGCGTCCGAGGATGTGGTGGTGGTGGGTCAGGTGATGAAGGGTTAATAAGGACACTTTTGGGCCCATTGCTAAAGCCATTGATAATATGTACAAGATAACAAGCGAATGATTACGTGAGAAATTTCAAGAATCGACTAGGAGAGTTGGACTGAGTCTGCAACCAACAAAATATCGAATCATTGGGTGATTGTGGATGCCAAGGAAGCCAAAGGATAATTGTTCACAATTTGAATTATTTTGTGGTCTGTATTATTTTCGAGAGGTTAACAGAGATATATTCATGTTTTGCGTAATCTCTATGTTAACGATCATTGAACTTGAATGTACTTTTACGTAATTGTGAGCTATTATTAAATAATTTAGTATAATCCATGTTTTGGTCAATTCTTAGGATTGAAAAAATAAAGTGGAATACAACTACAGAGTCGAATAATTTTCTTTCAGCATTGTTAACAACGTGTTGATTGCTTTCTTTGAGACTTTTTAGTATACTTTAATTAAAAACAAAAAAAATAAAAGTAAAAAATTATATTCGCTTAGTTATTTTTAAAGCTAATTACATAATCATCCAAGCACTGTAATGGACTCATCGCTTATTTACTTGTCCATAATACCGTATACATGCTTGATTTTCAGAACAGTAAACATAATTACAAGAAATAAAATCTGATAATAAAGTGCAAATGAAAAAGGTGTATCCTGTTTATCATCGTTTCTTAGTTTTATTTAGAAAAAAAAAATGAAAAAAAAAAAACGATAAATAAATAAAATGGAAAGAATTTTAAAAAAAAAAGAAGAAGACTAAAATGTACAAGTCTAGTCAACAGAAGGAAAACTAAGATTAAAAAAATTAGGTGATTGGTCACCGTCAAAGAATAGAAATTAGAACCAAAGTTTGAATTTTCAGAATTCGTGTTGATGTTAACTTTTGCATGCCTTCTTTTACTTGGTCAAATTGAGTGCTCTATAAATACCTGATTCAGTTTGTTGCCAATGCATATCAGCTATACCGCTCTTAAAGCAGTCAAGTTTAAAATTACACTACGTCAAACAGAGTTTCCTTTACTAGCAACAAAACAGCCTCAAGATGAACAGTGGCAACGATGCAGCTGCACTTACGGATTTTTCCAGCGGCAGTCTGGAGGGTGGAAACAAGATAAAGCGCTCTGATTTTCCCTCAGATTTTATCTTTGGTTCGGCAACATCTGCTTATCAGGTTTATATTTGTGTAATTTTTACAAGAATTATGCTATATGTACATCGAGCTGTCTACAATTCCCGTCACAAGAGGGGGGCTGAGATTGTTTTATTGGACACAAGCCTTCTCTTGTGAGGGTGATGCAAGCTCGGTGTACAAACATCAAAATCCTTTTTGCAAAGCTCAGCAAATCAATTAATCATCCTGGCCACAAGTGTATTTATTTAAATGCTTTTTATATTTACTCAAAAAAGAGAAAAAACATGCTTTGTTTTTATTATTATTATTTTGGTTGATTTTTTCTTTGCAATGTAATTCAGGTTGAAGGTGCTTGGGCAGCAGGAGGAAAAAGTCAAAGCATCTGGGATGTCTTCACAATGCAAACACCTGGTCTCTTCTCTCCCCGTCTTCGTACATGCATACATATGCACAAATTTATGTTTATAATTATATACACACGCATAAACATTTTTATGTGAATTACATGTCAATTTCTGAACAAGTTTATTGGAGTGGCAGGTAGAATTCAGGGTGGAGCTAATGGGTGTGTAGCAATTGATCAATATAATAGGTGGAAGGTAATTCACTAATTTCATTTTTTATTGCACAATTTTAAGGAAAACTTAGAGAAAATATTCTAGGTAGTAGAAACATATTTATTTATTTTCTGTAATGTTGTAGGAAGATGTGGCTTTGTTAAAGAAAGTGGGTTTAGACTCTTACAGATTTTCAATTGCATGGTCCAGAGTGTTGCCAGGTATAGATATCTATATAATCAATTTGTGCATAATTTGTTGAAAATTAAAATATTGGATGAAGTTTTATTTAATTTCATTTTTTCTTTATTGGTATTTTAGGGGGAAACTTATCTGCTGGGATAAACCAAGAAGGAATCAAGTACTATAATGATCTTATAAACTTGCTCTTGGCTGAAGGTTAATTAGACTCCAATACAATGTTTTCTTTGTTTCCTTTTAACAATTTTTTTTTTTATTAAAAAGGATAAAAACGTTACCTACATGATTCTTACATTTACTTTGTGTAGGCATTGAACCCTGTGTAACTATCTTCCATTGGGATGTTCCCCAATATTTGGAAGAAGAGTACGGTGGCTTCTTGAGCCCTCGAATTGTGTAAGTAACCGAATCTTTCTAACAAGGAACCTTTTCTTTCGATATTTGAATAGAGTATTTATAAGAAAACATTGTAAATTCAACAGAAGTTAAGATATTTAATTCCTCTGGAAACTAGAAGCCATTGAGAAATTTGTATTATCAAGTAAAGCTCTTGTATACAAATTAAATATGATCCTAATTTTTTTTCCTGAAGAACACCTTGAATCATATATGTATATATTGAAAAAATTTGCTGAATATTTAATAGGAGAGATTTTGGTGACTTTGCCGAGCTTTGCTTTTGGGAATTCGGTGATCGGGTAAAGTATTGGATCACTTTGAATGAACCGTCGTCCATGGCTATTCAAGGTTATGCAACAGGTACTTTTGCACCTGGTCGTGGTCCAACTTCAGCAGAGCCTGTAAAGGCTATCCCTCCTCATAGATGTGAACTTAAGGCTCCAACTCCTTGCCCCAGTGGAAATCCAGGCACAGAACCATATATTGTGGCACACAATATGATCCTTTCTCATGCAAAAGCGGTAGATATCTACAGGAAAAGATATCAGGTGACATTTGCCATATAATTTTAATATCATGAAAGAAAGTTCATATAAAAATCCAGATATTTGGTATCTGTATTTCATGCAAACACGTATGTGTAGGCACATCAAGGAGGCAAGATAGGAATAACAAATGTTGCTCAGTGGTATGAGCCACTTACTAACAGCAAAGCTGATAAAGAGGCTGCTTCAAGGGCCCTCGATTTTATTTTGGGATGGTAAGCAGCTTTACTCATTTATGTTTTCACAAGAAGCCAATATACTTGATTTCTTCACTTCATGATGAGGCCGCGATCTGGGCCTATTTCATTCTTATTTTATTCCATTCTGTTATATTTAATCGTACTTACTTAATCCATCTCGATATACTATGTAAATGTACGAGATTGAATTTATCTTCTTCGTTCTCTTGCTTTCCGGCTGCACTACTTTCACAATTTATGTTTTTTACTTCCACTCTTTATTGGGCTTTCTATGATTTATCAAGAATAAATTATATTGTCAAATTTACAGTTTGGTTTGGATATAAATACAAGAACCTTCACTTTTATTTTGTTTTTGGTGCGATGTATTATATAAAAATTGACATAAGCTTGAATACCCTGTTTTGTTCTACTCCTTTTTAGGTTTTTAGCACCAATAGTAACTGGTGACTACCCACCAGTTATGCGAAAACTAGTTGGAGACCGTCTTCCCCAATTTACACAAGAACAAGCTAAGTTGGTGAAAGGGACTTATGATTTTCTGGGCATAAATTATTATACAAGTATTTATGCTAGCAATTCACCTAGACAAAGTGGTGCAGCAGTAAGTTACTCAAATGACCAGGATGTTTCATTATCCAGTAAGTATATGGAGCTCATTCATGTATAGCTATAAATTAATCTTATCACATAGCGCTCACTATCTCAATTCTTTCTAGGTGACCGTGATGGGACGCCTATTGGCCCACAGGTATGCTTATTAAACTATACCGTGATTGCAACAATGGATTAAACTACTATGCCTTTATTCTGAATCTTATAGAACATTATCATTTTTTGTTGATGTCAGGCCGGTTCAAGTTGGTTGTCTATTGTTCCAAACGGGATATACAAGCTGTTGGTTTATATAAAGAAAACATATAATAATCCTATTATATACATAACGGAGAACGGTAAATTTATAGCATGTTTATTGGCCTTTTTCTTTTGTAAATTAATAAATGTTTTGTAATATTTACCCCTTTTAATGTGTTTTATTGGATGACTTAACTTGTGTAGGGGTGGATGAAGTAAACAATACGGCCCTAACAGTGTCAGATGCTCGATTTGATGAGACAAGGATTAAATTTCACCAGGACCATCTCTTTTATATTAAGAAAGCAATGGAGTAAGTCATCATTCTAATAATTATGTATTAGATCTCAAAGCAAATTATGAAATCATTTAGCTATTTTGTTAAAAAAAATAATTTTTTTTTGTGATTTTTTCTTTCATTTACAGAGAAGGTGTGGATGTGAAGGCTTACTTTATATGGTCAATGTTTGATACTTTTGAATGGGCTGCTGGATACAGTGTTAGATTTGGCCTTTTTTACGTAGATTACGTTAATGGCTATTTGACAAGATTTCCAAAAACTTCTGCTATATGGCTAATGAATTTCTTGGACAAGAAGAGAATCACATTGAAGAGACAAGCTCCAGAAGATGAAGAAGAGCATGGCTCTGCGAAGAAGGCTAAGAAGCAGTGAAGCGTAAAATTAGTGTGGTCGTATTTCATTTGAACTGTTATGTTGAATGCTGCGAAGAAGGCTAAGAAGCAGTGAAGCGTAAAATTAGTGTTATCAATTTTTTTTTATCTTCCTTTTGTTTGGGCCTTTCAAATGGCAACTTTCTACCTTTTATATTTAATAAATGAAAACCTTATTTTTATTTTTTAGTGAACCACAGCATTTGTAGATTATTTATAAAACGCTCGCAAAAATGAAGAAGAAAATATGAAACTTTGGAAAGGGCATAGAACCCCGTCCTCTAATCCATTAAAGAGATAAATGTAAATTTTAACTAGTCTAAATCGATTAGAAGTCGATCAAAAAGAGAATTTCTACTTTATAGTTACCGTGAAATCATCATGCTTCTTAGCCATCATGCAAAAATATTTTCTTACCTTATGATTACTTTTGTAGTCGCTCTCCTCTTCAAAATATACGAGTAGAGGTCCAAAACTAGCCGCTTGGATATCGCACCACGCCTTAAACGCTCTTTCATGGACATACATTTGTTGAATGTTCCATACAGTTAGGGTTGACTTTGAGATTTGGGTGCTTTAAAGTTAACTTGAAATAAGGGGCACCTAAACATATGTAAAAATATATAAAATAATAAAAATACTAGCTTTTATTAATAAAAAATATTCAAAATTACAAAAATAATAATATAAAAATTTCAAATGTCAAGATTGAATTTATTCATTTAGAATTTTTGATTGAAAACCAATAATTATACTATTACAATCAATCTTTTTAGAATTTCTTTTTCAATAGACAAATGATCAGTCTTTTGATCAAAACTAGAACTATATCAACTTCAACATTGATAAGCTCCTCTCGATGGACGCAAGTGTATAGGTGAATGCAAGTGTAAATGATACAGTGAGTAATATTTACAACCTATCAAAACATTTTAAAAATAGTCAATCATTTTTATATAATTTAAAACTTCATTCACCTTTTTTTGTGTCTTTTCACAAATAATTTCTAATAATTTACAGCTCAGGAAATAACTTAGATCATCAATATCAAAATCCTTGTCATGCTTAAGTTCTTTTTTCTTTTTTTCCAAGCTTATCACATCAACACTCAAAACAACTATCATCTACAATTTCAAATTTTTTAAGTCAAATAAAAAACCAAAAATATTTTCTTACTTTTGAAATTATCCAAAACCTTAATTTGTGTCAAGAAATAACTTAATCAACTACATATAAGAAATAATAAACTCTAGTATTTTATCTTATCATTAGAGGTGGGCGCGTTTGAAATCAGATTCTTTAATAATTTCAACTTAAATTTTCCAATGCATTTTTGATGATGACTTCTATACAATTCCAAAATTTTTTTAACTTTATAGAGCATTGTACAATTCTGAAAACGTTAATCAATTTAATTTAATTTTAATTTTTTTTTGTAGCTGTTGAATTTTTTTAAACATTTTTTTCCTCAATAAATTTGTCTGTTATAGGGCTGAGAAAGTGTACAGGAACATCCCAACTAAGTTTGCATCTTCGTAGCACTCTCATTATTTACTCTCCCAAGTCTTAATAATAAAAGAAACAATAAGCCGTATAAAAAATATTCTCGACGTGCGGGAGAAATAATGAACAAAATCTATGTTAAATGATAACTAAATGAAAAATGCTATTTGTACAGCGGAGCGTCATCTCATAAAGGTATTGTCATGAGATGAGCCACAGTGATCGAATCAGCCATAATTAATGCCAATTATTTTCCATGCTATTTGAACCGCATGTATCACATCCAGTTCAGCTTCGAAAGTCCACAAAATTATCGAGAGGGACTGCAAAGAAACCTTTCACGAGCCCCCTGTAGTTGTAAAACAAATCAGCACATCCAGCTTGATCAGGGTTTCCATGGGCTGCTCCATCAGTATTAGCCATCACCCAACCTGCTACAAAAGTCAATAATATCCCAATATTCATTGGACAAATAGACTAGCACAATTATAGGAAAGTACTTGTGTGTGTGTGTATATATCGTCGGATTTAATGAATGTTATTCAAAGCAATATTTTCGTCTACTTTTTATGGTATCATAGCAGGGCTCTATAATCTAGCTTTCCGCCCTCCTATATGGCATCAGAACAATGGTCATCTCTTCGAATGCCAAATCCAAATTGGGCTTCATAGATGAGACCACCACAGGGCCATCTGCCACAACCAACCTAGAAGACTATGCATCATGGAAAAGATGCAGTGACATCGTTCGATCATGGATTCTCAATTTGCTCACACCAATATTGCAGATAGTGTAATTTTTTCAACCATGCCAAAGAGATTTGGAAAGACATTCATAGTCATTTTTCTCAAAGAAATGCCCTGCATCTTTTTCAGATTGAGAGGGACATTACTTGTCTTTCTCAAGGTTACGTTACTGTTGTGGCATATTAGGGCCTGTTCGAGTCACATTATTTCAAAAAAATACATTCTTAAACAGTGATTTGACATCATTTCAACCACACATTCTTCAATAAAATAATATTACACGCAAATCAAAAAAATTTTCTTATTTTTTAACCACACATTTTTCATCAATACACTATTCAAAAATGCATTATTACCAAAATAATATGGCTCAAACACCCCTATAAAAGACTTAAAAACTGTAGGATGACCTGGGCTACTGTAACGACACTATTTGCTTTTGTGGCACAAACAATAATAGATACAGATTGATGCAATTTCTCATGGGACTCAGCCCTATAATGCTATATGATGATAGATCCTATTGAAGAATTTGTTCTGTTGTTGCACAAGTTTACTTTTTCATTGTTCACAAAAAGAATAAAGCTACTCTGACTCGAAATGTAAACATGGTTTAAATTTATGTGCTCCGTGACAACACCTGAGTAGGTACTCTTTTAAAATGTAAAAAAATAAAAAAAAAATGACCAACCAAATATTGACACGTGGCACATAGATTTAATCTAGACCCCCATTCCGTGTTTTTGTAACAAAACTCTCACGAAAATATCTTTTAATTCAAAACCACCACAAATGCACAGTTCGTTAACAACTAATAAAATGAATTTTGAGTCCAGGACATGTGTTTGAAGATGAATGGATATTGTTAGGATCTTCCTTAAGCTACTCAAAGTGATTTCCGGGCTCAGTTAACCATTAAACATCGAATTCAACACCAAACCCAAGATGACCAACCCGCCGGCTTCAACTCTCCTATGGTTGCTTTCCTCTTTTGCTTGTTGATTCAATCCACACACTTAGGATGGATACCACACAGGTAAGAGTCACAAAGGCTCAAGCAATTGGCATAGAAGACAAATCACGAAGAAGAAGGCACAAGAAGAAGAACGGCAGTCTCTCTTTGCTCTCGGGTTCTATATGGACGGGGGTGAAGAGTCAAAGAAAACCACCAATATATATAAATGTTAAGTGGCCAACATAAGGTAAGTCGATATGGTAAGTAGGCTCGACTAGGGTTAATTTCCAATGGAAAGAAACAACAAGCCACGAAGAGTATTAGCCGTCCAATAGGTAAAGCAACGTTTGGTCGGTTCATCCATTATTCGATGTTGAATTATCGTTCAGTCATTCATGTCGACTGATAAAATTGGTTTTCATCATCGCCCGGGAGGTTGTTTGACAACATCATGTCTAACAACCTCTACCTTGGTGTCAAAGGACCTGCAAAGAAAATCGTTTTTCCATTAGTGACACCTCTAACAGAAAAACCGATAAAATTGAAATCATTTACCTGTACCGATGTTTAGAAGCTCTTTGCAACTTCTAAACTTTACCAGTGGCAGCACTTTCGTGCCCATATCTGAAGGATTATACTGTGTGTGAATTTTTTCAAGTCTTACTACTTCTTGTGATATTATATCCCTAATGAAGTGTAACCTAACATCGATATGTTTAGTGCGTTCATGAAAAACAGGATTCTTACACAGATGTATGGATGACTGACTATCAGAATTCACAACCACATACTCATTCAAGACACTCAGTTCATGAAGTAGACCTCTAAGCCATAGAGCCTCTTTAATTGCTTCAGTGGTGGCAATATATTTTGACTCTGTAGTGGATAGTGCAACTATGTGTTGTAACTGTGATTTCCAACTAACACATGAATTTGATAAGGTGAATACATAAGAGGAAGTTGATTTTCTACCATCCCTATCTCTTGCATAGTCAGCATCTACAAAACCCTTTAATTTCACGCCTTCTTTATTAGCACTAAATTTTAGACCTACGTCACTTGTACCCTTCAAATATTTTAAAAGCCACTTTAATGCTTCCCAATGTTCAGGACCTGGATTAGACATGTACCTACTGAGAGTACTAATAGCGAATCCTAAGTCCGGTCTAGTGCAAACCATCAAATACATTATGGAACCAATCACATTTGAGTATGGAATTTTACTCATGTATTCCACTTCACGTTCATTGCAGGGAGCTTGTTCCTTAGATAGAACAAAGTGATTTGCAAGAGGCAACGTGACAAGTTTGCAGTCACTCATATTAAACTTTTTCAACACCTTTGATATGTATGGAGACTGATGCAAGAATACGATGGAATTTGACCTATTTCGTTCTATTTCCATGCCTAGAATCCTTTTAGCCTTTCCTAGGTCTTTCATGTCAAATTCTCCACTAAGATATGCTTTTATATTGTTTATCCACTTAGGAGATGATCCAACTAAAAGCATGTCGTCCACATAGAGCAACAAGAACAAATAATTGTTATCAGTCTCGTTGTGTTGAAAGTATAGGCAGTGACCGAATTTACTTCTTTGAAATCCTATAGTGAGTACAAAGGAATCAAACCTCTTGTACCACTGTCTAGGTGATTGCTTTAGACCATATAGGGATCTTTTCAGAAAACACACATAATCAGGTTTTAATTTGTCTATAAAACCTTTTGGTTGATTCATAAAGTTTTGTTCATCAAGCTCTCCATATAAAAAAGCGATTTTTACATCGAATTGTTCAAGTTCCTAGTCAAAGAACGCAACCAATGCGAGCATGACCCTAATAGTAGTGTACTTGACAACTGGTGAGAAAATCTCGTTATAATCAACACCTTCTTTCTGTGTGTAACCCTTTGCTACTAACCTAGCCTTAAATCTTAAGGGTTCTGAACTACTAGTACCTTCCTTAACCTTAAAGACCCACT